ACACACACACACATGGACACACACACACATGGACACAGACAAACACAGACAGGGTCGCCACGAATGTGTGTTTTTGCTCACTGCTGCATCGTAATAACGCATCAGATCCTTTTATGATAGATGGCATCCGATGGTCTTGGTACCAGTGAGTAGAAACAGCGTAAATTCTGGCTGATAGCAGGTTTTGGTGCCAGCGCACGAATTCAATTCACACTGTCTTTTCGTTGTGGCATGCGAAGTAAGCTTTCGAAATCGGTCCAGAGAGATTAATTTGACCACTTCACTGGAATCACCCCAAGAAGAAGACAAGAAGTGACGTAACCTGGCGATTCGTGCGCGTATTTCACCATGATGAGAACTGGCATTACATTATGCTACAGAAACGAGGAATGACGAGGCAGCTACCGATTACAAGATTCATTACTGGAATGAAATAAGCTCATTATCTATCTCTCTTTTAGAAGTACACTTCGGATCGGACACGGACAGTAGTGAGCATCTGGACCGGGAAGACCTGGTGAACCAACCTGAAACAGCGATACTTACACAGAATAGCAATAATATTGTAAGAGAATTTTAGGAAATTTTATTTCAGGACTAAATATGAAAAAGTTTGCCCTACTCAGTAAGCTAGCCAGGATTTTTCTGAAGGAAGGCAGACCATGCCTGTTTTTGCATTATATGCTTATTAATCAAGAACTGCAATGTGACAGTGATGAGTAATTAAAACTCATTAAAAAGTCTGAGTTGAGCAATTAATTCAAAAAGTAGAAGAGCGAGCGCTTGTTGTGGCAGTGAAAGCGATGGAGTCAAAGACGCTTAGCGTGCTTCTTCACAGCGTATAAACAGTCTGACTTCTCGTCAGACGAGCGAGGTGCAGAATATCATTACAACCAAGCTAGACATTAAAATCCGATGGGGCAGGGTAAATCGCTCTTTCTGCCGATGCCGGTGGACGATGTAAATCAGTAAGTGGTATCTGTAAGAAAGCAAACGGTTGCACTAGTAATCTTCTAGATCGAACAGGCGGTGAATACGAGCCGTGGTGTGCAGCCCAGGTTTGAAGGTCCTGATATAGCTACACTTGGCGTTTGAAAGCATCCTAATAACGCTACTTTAGATCATCTTATTTTTATAACAGAATGTTCAAATACCATCGAGCTCGTAAAAAAGAAGCTTATGAAAAAGAAAACACTTTGTTCTGATTACGCTAGTGGTTGGCTGTTAAAAAGATTGGAATATCTCACCATTCCTGGACGGCCATCCTTTCCTCTACGTCCCGGTGGGCCGGATCGACCCGGTAAGCCATGTTCACCAGGCAACCCAACACCACCACGGCTGCCATTTTTGCCAGGTGTTCCAGCTGGACCGCGATGTCCCACCGGACCCTTCCTACCTGGGGCACCGCGTCCTCGTTTTCCGTTGCGACCTTGCAGGCCAGGTATCCCTGGTGTACCCGGGCGACCCGGCGGCCCAGGTGGTCCCATGAATCCTGGTCGGCCTGCCAATCCTCTCTTGCCTGATCGTCCAGGATTTCCGCGTCGTCCGATTGATCCGTGATCACCAATGGGACCAGGAGGTCCTGGTGGCCCAGGCCGGCCGGGTGGACAATCGATACAACCACCAGGAATATGGTGAGTTACCATATTTACTACCCCTGGTACACCGGGTCGGCCGTTTTGTCCTGGTGATCCATCTAGACCGCTGATGCCCTTGTCACCCCGTGGTCCTGGAGGCCCTCGAGGGCATCCTTTTGCAGATGGACCACAATCTGAAAAACGATTAGGTCATGCACAAAAATCCCATATTGCTAATTCATTTGTATGACTTATCGCGAGCTTGTCTGCTACTCTTTGAATCTCACCAATCCAACACATAGAGGTGTCAGCCGCACCCTGCGCTTTAAAATATTTGCGTTACAGTTCCCTTATCACAGTATCTCTGTCAGAAAATCATTCAGGTGCTAGTCCCTTCGGGGGACGAAACAAATGCCAGGATCGCCAGCAGGTTGGCCACCAGGCGATGCAACGTTGGTTAAAGCAATTAGAAAAGTTGACATCTGCGTGAATGAAGTAACAAAGGCAGCAGACCAC